TGTTCAACATCTCTAGCAATTAGAGAAATGCAGATCAAAACGACACTGAGATTTCATCTCACTACAGTCGGAATGGAAACTATCAAGACTACAAGTAACAACAAATGCTGGTGAGGATGTGGGGAAAGGGTACTCTCATACATTGCTGGTGGGACTGCAAATTGGTGCAACCACTCTGGAAAGCAGTATGGAGATTTCTCAGAAAACTTGGAATGGAACCACCATTTGATCCAGTTATTCCACTCCTCTGTAATATGTACTACAGGGACACAGCCACATCAATGTTTATAGCAGCTCAATTCACAATAGCCAAGCTATGGAACCAGCCTAGGTGCCCTTCAACACATGAATGGATAAAGAAAATATGGTATATATACACAATGGAATATTACTCAGCCTTAAAGAAGAATGAAATCTTGGCATTTGCAGGTAGATGGATGGAACTGGAGAACATCATGCTGAGTGAAATAAGCCAGTTCCGAAAACCAAAGGCCAAATGTTCTCTCTGATACGTGGATGTTAACCTATAACAAGGGAGGGGAAGAATAGAAGTTCATTGGATTGGAAAAAGGGGAATGAAGGGAAGAAAGAAAGGGGGTAATAGGAAACCCAGTAGGATGAATTGGACATAACTTTCCTGTGTTCTTAAATAGATATACGACGACCAGTGTAACTCCACAGCACGTTCAACCACAAAAATGGGATCAAAATCGGAATGGGTTGCACCCCATACATGTGTAATATGTCCAAATACAACCTACGTCATGGATATCTAAAAACAACAAATAAAGAGAAAATCTCCTCTGGAACTGTTGCAATTCCTTGGGAAATACAGAGGGCCTGCGCGGGGTGCTGTGTGAGCCCTCGAACCCTGACACACCTACAGGAGCAGCCCGTCCTAGGTCTGTGCAGATAAGTGAGCCATGAATCCCCAGGATTCACATGGAAGCCAGCTTAGAGTTGAGGTTTTCCTCCATGTTCACAATTCCACTCAACAATTCTAGGATTCTAGGTTCTTATTAATTCTTCTGCGATTTCTGCATTTGGATGCTTTCCGTATAGCTGAAACTCCAGGCTTATTTGCCTCAAGGGCCTTCTGTCTAAAAGATGAAAAGTAAATAGAATCATCAACTTTTTTCCAGTTAGGAGACTCAGGCACTCGCTCCATCCAAATGACATGAACTGTTTTCACGGTGACTAGACATCTGTCCTGAGAACTCAAATACCTGGGCTCAGTGACAGGGGCTTCCCGTTCCCATGTCTGATATTGCTTACACGCTGATCCCGGGGTAAGAGCCCAGGAAAACAAGAAGTGTGGTATGGATATGGATGGGCTCCCTACTCTACACAAAGCTCTGAAAATTGTTTGAAATTTTCATCTTTGATTAGGATGTTCGGCTTAGGGGCTGGGGTCGTGGCTCAGTGGTAGAGCAGCTGCCTAGCACGTGTGAGGCCCTGGGTTCGATCCTCAACACCACATAAAAATAAATAAATGAATGAATAAATTAATGAATGAATAAATAAATAAATGAATAAATAGATAACATACATAAATAAAGGTATCGTGTGTCCATCTACAGTTAAAAATAGTTTTAAAACACGCTTGGCTTACTACAGATAATGCCATTGGGAATGTGTGTTGAAGTTCTAAACAAAGAGAAGATCACATCAGGAACAAAAAAAAATACCACATATATTTAAAAAAAATTTAACAGGTTAACATTAAATCAGCGTTTCTTGAGTCTATATCCACTGAGCTAACTACAAAATCATCATGGGATAAAGAACAAAAAACAAACAAACAAACAAACAAAACACTTCTGAGTTTTTAAAACATTGCTTCTAATGCTTTAGTGCAAACTCATTTGTGAACAATGAGTTACAATCAGAAATAATGATCATTTTTTTTTTATAGGTTAGAGTTTGGTGGAGTCTTCCAAAACAGAATCGAGGGAAAATATTACAAAAAGAGATGCTTGATTAAAAGGTTTTATTTCTCAGGGCTGTACCAGTGCTTTTGATTTAAGATTTTTATATCCTCAAAGAGCATTTGGGCTAACCAGGTAGTGCATTAGTAGCTATTACTCAACCCTGGGTGCCCTGGGTCTTGGACTATGGTGCCCATCCTCTCTTAAACTGTTCATGTCTAAATCAGTGTCATGGGGTAGATATGAGGCGTCCTCCAAAACCTCATGTGAGAGACAACCCAAGAAAGTACTGAGGGGGAGATGATTGGGTCATGAGAGCCTTCACCTCATCAGCGCATTAATCCACTTGATGTGGATTAATGGAGTGCAACTGTAGGCAGGTAGGGTGTGATTGGAGGAGGCAGGTCACTGGGTGTGTGTGAGTGTGTCTTTAGGATTTATATTCTGTTCCTGGTGTGCAGAACTCTCTTTCTCCTGGTCTCTGTGTCCGGAGCGGCGGCCTCCACCAGGCCCTTCCGCCATGATGTTCCGGCCTCACCTTGGGCCCAGAGCTACAGAGTCAGCCATCTGTCAATCTAGGCCTCTACAACCGTGAGCCAAATCAACTTTTCCTCCTCTAATTGTTCTTGTCAGATTCTTTTTGGTCACCTCCATGAAAAAAAGCTGACTAAAATAATCAGTGGTGTAGGATTTGATGTGATGGTTTTCATTGACTCATCCACTTAATTTTCTTTCTTCTGTATAAGAAAAAAAAAAAAGGCAGAAAAATAGCAGAATTTCTTCTCCACTCCCGAGGAAACAGGAGCAAAATCCTTTCTTTTTACTCTTTTTGGAAACGGTGAAATGTTCGAGCGAGCTGATGTCTTTCCAAGAGTGAACTTGATCCAGAGACCAAGTCCATCTTATACCTAGTCCATAGTCTCCTGACCTTAAATACTCAAACAAATCAATTTCTTTATTTTTTTTTAAAAATTAGAACTTCCAAGAAAGTTCTGACATCGAGCTTCTCTGGAAAAATAAGATGGAAAGTCACCAGACCTGCCTCTCTGTATGGCTGAGTGGCAGGTGTCTACCTTGATGGGACAGTCACTAAAGTCTGTGCCATTTCCTTTTGAGGTCCCACCCTGGCCAGTTTTGGAAAGCATTTCCATTACCTGGTTGGGTCTCTTTGGTTAACACACTTTAAGTGAGGCAGAGGAGCGGAGCAGAGCCGTGAGAAGACAGTAGCCAAGTGGAGAAAGCGGTGCTAATATTGACATTTTGGGACTCACCCGGTGACATTGGAGGTGGAGATGACAAGTAGCAGGAATTGGGTAATGATAGGGGAGTATCCTCAAGTTTAACTATATTTTCAGTGTCATGTAAATGTGGAAGCATATTTGAACCCTGTTAATCAAATCAAGAGTATCAAGAACAAAAAACTGAACAGAGAAGAGCTAGCGGGGAGTCAAACGGTGGAAATAACTAAATTCCGTTCTCCCGTAGGATTCTTGATACTCATACTCTACTTCCTCAAGGGTAGTTCAATCAGGCTTTGTGTCGATGGCTAAGCTATAGCAGAGGTAAGCAGCCAACAACCCTGTTCAAGACGGCAGGTTGTCAAATATATGAAACAGTTGTGTGCGACATCTCTCGCAATCAGAGAAATGCAAATCAAAAAAACTTCTCTACGATTTCATCTCCCTCCAGTCAGAATGGCAATTGTCAAGAATACAAGCCAACAGTAAGTGTCGGTGAGGATGTGGGGGAAAAGGCACACTCCTACGTTGCTGGTGGGACCGCAAAGTGGTGCAGCCACTCTGGAAAGCAGTATGGAGATTCCTCGGAAAACTTGAAATGAAACCAACATTTGGATCCCAGTATCCCACTCTTGTTTGTATCCAAAGGACTTAAAATCAGCACCCTACAGTGACACAGCCACATCAATGTTTATAGGGGCTGGGGATTGAACCCAGGGCCTTGTGCATGCACGGCAGGCACTCTACCAACTCGGCTCTGTCCCCAGCCCTGTCCCGCTTTCTGGGTACACCAGGAATCAGAGAGGGACGCATCTTATGCATTTAACATGGGTGTGCATTCACTCCGTATAAACCGCACCGCGTTTGTTTATAAAACTCATTAAACAGGACAACCTCATCAGCGCCATGGTCTAATTTGTATATGCAAATTCAAAGGTGTACAGGTGTAAAGGGTAGACACACACATTTTGATAGGCATCCTTATTGCATCCTTGAGTACTTGACCTTCAGCACCAATTAAAATCATTATGTATACAGCTGGTAAATCCTGTCTTATAGGTGACAAACAGACTCCTGCATAATTAGCATTTTTCTAACAAATTGCATAAATTACAGACAAAGGTCTGGGATACATTATAGGCTTTTTCTTGACAGCCAAGAAAAAAGCCTTGGAAATGTGTGCCAATGGATACGACCGACTGTCAGACTCCAGGTAACTCACATCCATTTAAAGGACATAAACAACATGCTTTCTACATGCAGCCCATGGATGGTAGAAAATACAAGCGTGACGTGTTTAGGTATTAGAAGAAAACCTGTTGTCTCAAAAAGATGCCATCGAAATAATAAGAAGTCAAGGTTGGAATGAGAGATGTTTATAAACTCAAAGAAGGAAACTAACGAGACACAGATGGATATTTGAAAGATTGCTAAAATATTGGAAAGATTGCTAAAGACTGGAAAGAGTGCCATAACAAAGAAAAATTAAACTGCTTCGTCCCATTCGACTTCTGTTCAAAGGAAGTAGGAGGCGCCGAGAGAGTGGGCAAATCCACAAATGAGATGTTGGGCTAACATTAAGCTTACCTTCAGGCAGTTCCGGAAGTTTCCACAGGGAATGGTGCATTCTCTTTCTGCAGAGAGGGTTCTACGCGGGACCGATATCAAGGAGGAAACCCAGCATTTACCTCCTCTCTAATAGAGCATCAGCCTTTGGATTAACATTTGGCCCCGAAGTAAAGCTAATAAATACCACCCCCCTCCCCCACTTCTCACGAGCAGACAAGAGGTTCCTACAGGTTAACCAAAGACTCCAAACGTTTCAAGAGAGTACCTTTCATTTTCTCTTAATAGGTCCTTCCCCTTTTTCCAGGTGTAGACGGGTTTTGGAGATGCTTTGGGCTTGCACTCAATGACCACCTCCCCTCCCACTTTGACGAGAGTGACTCTCTTCAAGAGTGTTCTCGAGAAATCCGGACCCGCCGCTGGAAGACAAAACAGAGAATAAAACAATGAATTCTTTTGCAAGGGGAAAAAGAAAAAAAAAACAAAACAAAACATACACCAAGATTAATCCGGGGTCTTTTTCTTTCTCTGATGCAATTATTGTTCCTTTGTCCATCAAAGGCAGGAAGCTAAATTTGTCCTAAAGGGAGGAGCACCCTAGGTTTTGATGCATTTATTAAAATTAAAGCTGTAATTTCTATATGCTAAGATGCAACAGTTATATGAATACAGCTTGATGGGTCTGGTATATTCCATGATATAAAATGTTCTTATTACTCTATTGAGGATTCTTTTTTTTTTTTTTTTAATGTATTCTAGCTGGATGGGGTGGCATGCACTTGGAATCGCAGATTCTCAAGAGGCTGGGGCAAGACTGTCTCAAGTTTGAGGCCAGCCTCAGCAACTTCGTGAGACCCCGTCTCAAAATAAGACATACAAAGGGCTGCGGATGTGGCTCTGGGATAAGGCACTCCTGGGTTCAATTCCCGGTAACATACTCACTATGGATCCCATATTCAAGGGAACAAAAATTCAAAAATTTCACAGAAGCAAAAGAGATAGAAACAAAATAAGAAAAATCCGTCTTTTTTTTTTTTTTTCCTTGACGTGTGGGCTGAAACACGGGCTCTCTGATACAGTCACTACCTGCGCTCTGTCCCCTTACACTCTGTGTATATACAGAAAATGTGCTGAACTATCTGTACGGCCACCCTCTAGGCACTTCTTACAACCCAGGGCTCTGTTCAGCTTTATGCCATGCTTGTTCTATTGAGGAGGAATTACAGCTTGGTCTTCGTTATGGCTTGGATACATGGTGTCCCCCCAGAGCCCACGTGTGAGACCATGCAAGAAAATTAAGAAGTGTTTGGGGTTATGAGAGCCTTAACCTGAATCAGTGCATTAATCCACTGATATGGATTAACTCGGTGGTAACTGCAGGAGGTAGAGGGAGGCTGGAGGAGATGGGTCCCTGAAGGCAGGACTTGGTGGTTTATATTTTGTCCCTGGTGAGCAGAACTCTCTGCTCCCTGGTGGGCTCAGGCGGAGCCACTTTCCTCCACCACACCCTTCCGCCATGATGTTCTGCCTGTCTGGGGCCCAGAGCCATGGAGCTGGCTGGCGGTGTAGACAGAGACTTCTGGAACCGTGAATGCCAAATACACTTCTCCTCTACAGTTGTTCTTGTCAGGTTTTTTGGTCATGGCCATGATAAAACTGACACTAAAATAGTCTTGGATCGCAGACATTTAGAAAACTGTATTGCAGGCTTACAACGAGTGTTCCCCAAAATTCCCTCATGTTGGTACCGGTTATAAAGTCACAGGGAAATAATATATTAAAGGAAAAAAAACTGTGCCTTCCTAAGACAAAAGATAGACATCGGTACCCTCACTGTAAAAAAATAAATAAATAAATAAAACAAAAGATGCCTTCTCAAAAACCTCTATTTTCTTCTGAGTTAATTGACTTCGTGGGTGAGGAGGAATTTTGGAATCAGTGGGCAGATTTTTCTTATTTAAATTTTATAATCTACCTTATGTGTATTTTTTTTTTTTTGCCTCCCTGCAGTTGATCTGATGAAATTCAAGATTTTAAGACACGTGGAAGGTAAACATTTAAGTTCAAACCAATAATTAATTAAAGGAAAAATGGGAGCGAGCCTGTATGTATGTATAGGAGCGGGAAATGCAATCCAGTGTCTTCAACGTACCTGCATCCTAAGCTGGCGATTTCAAAAGAATAAAAAGGAGCTTCACTGGAAGAAGCTACATTTTTATTAAGTGCTTTTGTTCAGCTGGACAATGGATTTGCCCAAATACCCAGGAGCCTGGTATTACGATGTGAAGGTGCTATTAAATAAATGAATCCAGTAGGCAACTGATTTCTCAACCAAGATACCTCTGATTCATGAGATGAGTTCAAAGCTCAGAGACCAATTCTACAGTGATAGAGGCCATTAACAAGCAGAGTGCCAAGTAGAGATGTTTCTGCTCTACAGCAACAGTGCATTCCTCATGGTCTGCAAAGTCACAAAATAAAAACAATTGGGTCTACGAAAAAGAGTCAGGGCAGATGTGATGATTTACGTAACAAAAACGACAACAAAAGAATAACCCTCTGAACAAATATTAAGTATGATGAAATGCAAAGCATGATTAAGAAGACAAGTCACATTCCTAACAAATACTACAAAAACATAGAGTGCATGTGAAGAAAGATTGATGGAGGAAAGAAAGAGGAAGAGTGGAGATTGTTAAGCTAGGAAATAAGTGCAAATCACAGACAGATGAAGAGCTATGCAATAGGAACAGCCATACTGTGGTCAGCCGGGCAAGGTGGTGCACACCTGTAATCCCAGCGACTCAGGAGGCTGAGGCAGGAGGATCACAAGTTTGAGGTTGGCCTCAGCAATTTAGTGAGGCCCTCTGCAACTTAGTGAGACCCTGTTTCAAAAAAAAAGGGTGGGGATGTGGCTCAGTGATAAAGCCCCTAGGTTCCATCCCCAGCATCATAAAAGTAAACAAATTAATTATCTATATGGCCAAATTGACAAGCACAAGATTGCTGTGGGGTAAATAGAATTCATGTGCAATGAAAGATCTTTTTTTTTTTCTTGCTTAGATAGCTATATTGATTTGTTAGTGGGTTGCGTAAATAACCCTTAGTTAAGTATTTACTAAATACCAAGTATTTACTAAATACTTGTAAATAAATCCAGCATTTACGCTATGTTGACATTATTCACCACTTACCAATCCAAAATAAACTAAACAATGTCACAGAAAAGTGTTTCCGAAAAGACTTCTCGGCTTAGGTAAACATCAGAAGTGACATAAAAATGTTGGGAAAAAAAAAATCAGGTCTTCTAGAAGTTTTTTTTAAAGGGTATTTTTTGAAATACAGTTACAAATCTTTCTCATATAAAAAAATCCCTTCTTACGACTCTATCTTTCGGCACACATATTTTTTATCACTCTAGGCAGATATTTTTCATCTGTTCAGGAGGAATTCTGCTGTTGCATTTGGAATGAGTTTATATAAATCAAACTGTGCACGATGTATGGGTGTATTTGTCAAAAAAACTATATAGATTGCTTCTGCAGGATTTGAAATAACAAACCGAGACACACAGAAGGCAGAAAACAAACACCTTCCAAGTTCCAAAGGTATTTTTAAATACATTATTCATGCACGTATTAACTTTTGGATATCCTAGAGATAAGACTGACTTGAACCATCTTCCACCAATAAAAAATGGAATTGTACATGACATCATTTCCTTTTGGTTACTCCATTTGATGACCTGGCTCCTGGTATTATCTAACCCTGCAAATCTACCAGCTGTCACCATTCTAGGGTAAAATCACTGGAGCGTCCTCAGTTTCTGAATACTTGACCCTCATGGGCTTCCTTACATTCCGCCATTTTGTGAGCACATTTTTCAACTCAGATGGCTGCCTAGCTTGGAGGCTGATGTTTTTTTTCTTCCTGGTGCCCTGTATTTACTCTGATCCCTCAACCTGGATCCAGGAGGTACTTGAAGGAAGAGTGAAATGGGCCTGAGAAGTTTGATATTCACAGAGATGTCACTTAAGGAGTTACTGGTAAGATTCCCAGTGGTGCACTGGTAGAACCTACCCCTGGTTCCCTTGCATAGGGGAATGTGAAAAATACGTCAGTCGATTCCTAAGGGATCAGAAAAAGAAAAGTAAAAAGGTCCAACGTGAAGGATACAGAAATGACAACCTCCTAAACACTGTGGCCTGGGAAGAGGGAGGGAGGAAGAGGACAAAACACGGGTGACATCGATCCTTTCGCAATACCTCCTTTCCCAGTGACAAGGCAGCCCTTGGGGAGGAAGGCACACATCGCCCACTAACAAGTCAATCGCTGGGAAAAGGAACAGCACGGATCTGTTCCCAATATGTCCTTTCTCAGTGACCCTGGAGGAAGAGATGAGCCAGGGTCGCCAAACTCTGGACCCTCCGCCTTGCCCTGTTAAAAACACTGCCCAGTAGAAACAAATTTCTAATTTTTGCAATCTTTTTGCTGAATGCTCATGTCTTCTTAAGTCTTCAATGGCTAAGTCACATTCCAGTGCGTGACCTGCATCGACACAGACCTCCTCCTCCGGTCATCGGTGGCCATTTCCGATCCAGAAAGTGAGCCCATCCGTTGATGCCGCCTGACTCTGACTCAGGACAAAAAGGCACAGCGGATCCACGAAGCCTGCTCCCTCCCCGGTTATTGGTGCTCTCCCCGTGGAGCCAAAACCACGTGGCTTATTTTTTTGCTTAGAAGATGACCGTCTGAGAGATTGAGAGCAGCTCAAAGACGAGGGGAATCTTCCTCTGCTAAATTGAAAGATTTTTCTCAGGTGAACTCCCAGAGGGCACCTCTCCCTCGGGAGGGGGACCAGTCATGCCATGCGACCTCTCCTCCATGGGAAATGCAAGTGGGAAAAAAACACTAGGTCTGCCTCTGCCTGCACTGGTTTCCCCTCCCAAGGGACCGAGTGGAGTGTTGACTCCTTAACCAGATGCCCAGTGGCAGCTGGATCTGAGGCATGCACTGCACGAGGATGATGCTCTTCGGTGCGATGGAAAAGGAAAAGACAATCCAGTCATGCCTGCTCTGTCACAGTCGGTCCCCAGAAACATTTCTGGGAGCGCTGCCAGTGGGTGGAGACTCTTCAGGCCAGCCCCTTTGGAAGTTCAGAATTTCCTATGATTGGAATCTCAGCCCATTTTCCTTTAACCCTTACCTCATTGTTCCACGAAACCCAGCCTGGAGTGAATGCATCCGTTCAGATTTTCCACCCACAGAGGGGAGAAGGCCACTCTCAGATTATAAACGCCCAAACCCCTCCTGGCTTCCCGGGGAGCCATCTTGAATGCATGCTGCCATGAAAAATGTCTTCTCTCTGGGTCCACCATTGCAGGGCGATGAATTAAAAAAAAAATCTCTGCTCCCTCAT